AAGGGGAGAATTAAAAAATCCAAACAAAAATCATAAAATTAAAAAAAAATTCCAAAAATATGTCTATTTTATTTCTGTTTTTATTTCTTTTTCAGAAAAATAAAAAATTCCAAAAATATTATTTTTAAGCGTATTTTAATTTTTTTTAATTCTTAGTTGTTCTATTGTGTGCTAAGTTTATGTTTATTTTTATTTTTTATCTCAATTTTTTTGTCTTGAAACGTGAATTCAAAAGAAGAAGAGACTCCAAGAGACTGTATCGGAATTTTTTGAGCAAGGAGAAGAAACTTGGAAAAGAATTGACGGTCATTACACTTCACACTACTTTCACAAGGAATTAACGGTTATTGGCACTACGGCGATGCACCTCGCAAGGCCCAATTATCGCTAAATGTCCTGCCAAAGGGCCTTGACCTCGTGTCATGCTAAACTGTGGAAATAAGTCTTCGAATATTTTTGTCACATGATGGTTTTGTGAATTATTCCTATTTAACTCTCACTGGCACTAGAATGGTACACTCAGCTGAGATTCAGAAACCATTGAACGTCTCGCCAAGGGCCAAGTTAACTTGTTAACTTGAAAAAATGTATTGACATCTTTGATCAAGGATATGCAGGGACTAACATCAAAAATAGCCATGAGTATTTCTCTGATACTCAACAAATCGTAGTGCATTCCTCCGTGTTCACACAGATACTGCGAGTAGTCTCCATCTGAGCTAAGGTTGGGTCCTTGAACAACTGTGGTGAGAAGGGTCTTTATGACTTTGTGATCCACAGGGACTTTTTAGTCATGGTTACTTTTCAAGATGCTTCTGTGATTGAAGAAGAATATTCATTTAAAGGAACAAGAAGTGAAGATTATTTTTCAACACACAATCTTTCAACCCAGAAGCAAGGTGAAGCTGTTTTTGAAGTTATGTGACGAATTACATTGAAGCCTCCTAAATCAATTTGTTGCTATCTATGAACCTGCTGATGTGATCTAGAAGAATCGGTCTCTCTGAAATTATCTGTGAAGTATTTCAAAGCTGAAAGTGCTGATTTACAAGAACCTATACAAGAAGCCTCTATACCCAATGTGTGTTCAAAGTCATATTTTGAAGGAAGTCCAACTACTAATGATGAAGTTATTCATGTAGAAGATCCATATATACATCTTGTAGTCAAGTCGTGAAGAAATCGAGGAAAGAGCTGAAAGTGAAGATCAAATAGGATATTGAAAAGAAAATTTGTGGTTTATACTTTACTTTTCATAGCTTTTATAGTTTTCGGTTTAGGACCAAAATCTCAATGATCTCGGTGGTGCTTGGACCGAAATCACCATGTGATTTCGGTGGGCTTAGATGATTTCGGTTTAGATTATTGGGTTGGTCCTTTCTATTCAGATCTTAGTATATATAATATAGGTTTAAGTCATGTAAAGGGTGAGACATTAGAGTCAGACACGCCAGTTAGTCATTCCAAGAACATCATATCGTGTTTTGTAGAGAGAAAGAGAACCGAGAGAGGAATTTGTGTATCTTATGTACCAGATTATTATCAATAATAGTGTGCACTGAAGATTCGTGTTTGTGTTCTTACTCCATATTACGTGTTCTTGCTATTCACTAGATTGGGATTCCGCACCAACTCTAGTGAAATCGATTGATACATCTCAGATTGGGTTTTATAGATGAAAAATCGTGAACAATGATATATTCAATTTTTTTCGATAAAAAACGTGGCTTAAGAAAAATTAAACAAAAAAAGAGGTTGGTTTTTTTGGTAAAGAGGTGAGTTTTATGGTATAATTTGGGCTATGTGCATCCAATGTACAAGTGTACGTCCATTCCCTCAGTCGTTGATCATTAGACGGTCATGATTGGTTTATTGGTTCATTGTTAATAATTGTTCTCTATTATATATATATATATATATAAAGGGAAATCTCCAATAAAGTCCCAAAATTTTGGCTCAGTTTACGTTTTAGTCCTAAATTAATTTTTGTTTATGAAAAAGTCCTAAAAACTAGCAAAAGTTTGCGCTTTGACAATTTTTACCGGTTGGAACTGGTAACAAATTGAATTGTGACGATTTCGTAAACTGATCCAAAATATTTGGATTTATCTGCAAATAAATTTATTAGGACTTTTCTATAAAAAAAAACCTTACAATTATTATTATTATTATTATTATTATTATTAAAAATGTAAATAAGTATATTATTTTTTAAATTTGTTATCATTAACATTGTTAATAATACATATAAATACGTTTAAATGAAAAAAATATTAAAAACATTATTTTAATGGTGAAGGTGAAGGGACGATGATGTTTTAAACATTGAAATCATGAATGCGTTCTTGTATATTCTCATTTTATATATGGTTATTTCGCATTTGTTAGTACTGTTTTCAATTCATAATATTTAACACTTAACGATTTAAAAGAAGTTACATATTTGTAAAATTGTTTGTAAATAATTTAAGGTAGAAGGATATCTCACTTTGTATATATAATTGTTTAACGTAAAAGAATTTCTTTTCAAATCCAACTGATCCACTACAAACATCTACACAGATAGCCCATATTCAAATTTAAAAGTATTAATTACAATATCTTGTGAAATAAAAAATAATATGACATGTTTTGCTTTATCACATTATATCTGCTATGTTTCCAAAAAATTGCTAGAATAAAGTATTGATAAATGGCAACACACATGTTTGTAATTCAAATACTTACACACAACACATACATACATAGAACACAACTTCACGCCCACAAACTAATACATGTGGTAGCAGACTCAATCATAATGTTGATCTGATCCCAATTGCGAGCCTAAACTCGATTCAAGAAAATATATATAAGAAATGTTTGCTTACAAGTTGAAAATGAAAAGAAAAAAACTTAGAATTTAATGATAATATTGATAGTCCATGACGCAAAATCACTATTTATAAACAATTCTAGAAACATGCAACTTCTTTTAAATTCTTAAGTGTTAATATTCTGAATTGAAAAGAATAAGAACAAATATGAAATGACCAGATATAAAGTGAGAATACACAATCAGATATTCATGATTTCAATGCTTACAACATCATCCCCTCCACATTTATCCTTAAAAATATATTTAATATTGTTTTCATTTAAACGTATTTATATGTATTATTAACAATATTAATAATAACGAATTTAATAAATAATATACTTATTTACATTTTAAATAATAATAATAATAATAATAATAATAATAATAATAATAATAAAGTTTTTGTTGGCAGAAAAATCCTAATATTTTTGTTTGCAAAAAAATCTCAATATTTTACTTTACGAAATAGTCACAAATTAATTTGTTACCGATTCCAACAGCTAAAAATGATCAAAATACAAACATATACCGGTTTTTAATACTTTGCATAAACAAAAATTAATATATGACTAAAACGTAAACTGGACCAAAATTTTGGGACTTTATTGGATATATATATATATATATATATATATATATAATATATTATATATATATATATATATAGAATATATATAGTTAGTTAGTTAGTTTCATATGAGACCATCATATTTTGTGAGACATGAGGACGCAATCCTAGCTATTCATTTTAGAGATCAATAAGAAATATTTTGAAAATGCAAAATAAATGAAAATTTTAGATAAAAAAATTTATAAATATTATTTTCGTCATTTATTTTTTCCAAAAAGAAATTAAAAAATAAATAAATAAATAAATTACCGTTTTTTTCAAAATCTATGTTAAATATTCTAATAGAATATTATACTGTAAATATTCAAATCGAATTTTTAGAATGTTAGAATATTTTACTAGAATATTAAACTATAAATATTTAAAGAATTCTAACAGAATATTAGAGTGTTTTTACAAATCTAACAATTGAAGTAGAATATTAGAATATTTTAACATATCTACCAATTTTAGTAAAATATTAGAATATTCTAACATTCTAAAAATTCGATTTGATTATTTACAGTGTAATATTCTATTAAAATACTTTACTTATATTTCGAAAAAATCAATGATTTTTTTATTTTTCTTCTTCTTATTATTTTCATTTTTTTAAATTTTTTTTTGGATAAATTAAATAACAAAAATAATATTTAAAAAAAGAGTTTTTGGATTTTTCCTTTTATTCTGCAATTTATAATTTTTTTTTATTTTTTTTATCTCTAAGAATAAGGGCTAGGATCGTGTCCCTATGTCTCACAAACTAGCATGGTCTCAAATGAACTTCTACCTTTATATATATATATATATATATATATATATATATATAATATATAGAGAGAGAGAGAGAGAGAGAGGAAGGATCAATTGAGAACTTATATTTTCCCGAGAACCCGAGAACCAAACAAGAACCATTAGGTCAAAGTAATATGGGGTCAAGATGATTTGTGGCATTTTTGTAAAAACTTAGAAATAAAAAGCACGGGGGTATCTTATTTCAATTAGTTAGAGGACATTTTAGGGATAGTAACTTAGATCTGATCCCATCAAACCCTTTCCTTATACTATTTCTATCTTTGTTTGTCATCAAATCTCTATCCCTCTCACGTTCTTCATTGAAGATGAAGACGACTGCCTCCTCCATCATCCGTCGTCGATCACCTCCCTCCTCCCGTCACCGACCACCTCTACCTCTTTCGACCGCCACACTCCTTGATCTCACGTTCTTCATAGAAAAAACTCCACTGAAGATGCTTTGACTTTGAATCGGTTTATCCGCCATTATTGCACATCCGTTCTCCCTTGTTTCTCTATCATCATTGGACTACTCTACTATCATCGAGATATCTCTTCTTCCTCTTTCGTTGCGCCTTCATCACCAGATATGTTTCTCCTACACATCGATCTAATTTGGTAAACGCCTTTATATCCATATTGATTTCTAATTTTTTGATTCAATTATGTTGGCTTCGATTTGACCTACTACCTTTACCTTTTGCGTATTGTACAACATTTAAACAAGTAACAAGCATGAAATATAGAAAGCAAGGGAATTCAAAGATCCGTGGAGGATTATATACATTGATTAGAATGGAGCAACAAAATGCTACTGTTTTCCAATTCGAGGTATATTTGCTCGGAGCACCTACAAGCCACAATAAAAATTCTACGAAGATTTATAGGACAAGCTTCTATAACACAACGATGTCGATACCTCCTCATCCGACAGTCGTCAGGTGACACTTTCGTCAATGTTTCTCTTCGGCGACGACGTCGTCTCAAGCTCCGGTGGGAACTTCCAACGAATAACCGGCGGACGCTCAATTTTCCGATGATTACACTTCTCAACCTGTCGCGAGGATTTCCGTAAACCGGTCGGGATTGAGCAACCCTCCTGGTTCAATCTCTGTTTACTTCTTTATTGTCATACGCATATTACTTGAGATTTGTAATAACTTACATGTCTTTGTTGCAGAGCATTCTCAGGAAACGTCGGCAGATTCTTAACCTTTTAAGCATCTTAAAAGCATAATCAAGGTTTTACTTTCGCCTTTTTTTCTCTATTTACATAGAATATGTGTTTTGTTGGTTTTTCTATTGGTTTGAGTTGAATTGAAGACTGAAACATTTGTTGTCTTTCTATTGTTACCTAATTAATAAATTAGAACATTACAACAGATCCTATAACAAAAAACACTTGAAAAGAAGAAAAAAGAAAAGGAATCCACCATGTGACTGTATATATCAAGTATTTACTAGTTTTACATACATTCAACTTCACTATTTAAAATATCAAATAACCGCTTGAAAATTTTCACTAACAGGAGGGTTACTAGGTGAGTTTGCATGTGTATGATTTAAGTGGAGGCCTAGCTCGTCAACTCTCCATATCATTATTAGGGAAAGCCATTGAAACCATATGGTAAGCATCATGTGCACCCTGTTATCATAATCAAAAACTACCATAGGGACAATTATGCATTTGTTTATATAAAAACAGGCATACATGTATGGTGGTATATGGTACTGAGTACTTTTTTGGGGTGGTATTCAACAAACTCCAGCTGGAACAACACCATATAGGACTCCACTCAAAGTCATTGATCTTGGTGTCACCCATATCCCAAAAGATGTCTTTTAGATGTATCTAGATGAGATTAGCCCCTGATACACACAAGCAACCTATATTTTATTGTCACATAACTATAACAACTTTAGCAGTTAAGCCGCACAGTTTCTGGTGGGTGTCTCCATACCATATTACATCTTCAATCTCCCTAATGAAGTCATGAGTAGCCCAATAGGTGCACTTATATGTAAGTTCCTCATCCTTTTTATCTTTTTAACTTTTCATGTTAAAGATGCATTCGAGCTTTTATGGATTCTTATCTTACACATGAAATTTTGTATGAATCACAGTGCCTATGATACAGAATTTGGAGACCACATTGAGGGCAGTGTTGTCCCATAAGCACCTCAGTTTAAACCGTCTCCAGTGAACACAATTCCTCAGGTGTCAAAGAAAGTTGATAAACCATCAGAAACCAGCAGCCAAAAAATGTAAATGTGGCCCCACCCCCACCTGCAATTGTGCCAGCTGGCACATCACAAGAGAAACCAGTTGTTGTTGATCCTCTTGGTGAAGCAAGGAGTAAAGTGCAAGAAGAGATTGGTAAGGAGTTTGCTGCAATGATGTCTAGTGGGACCCTTTGTGCAAGTGAGGCTGTTGCACTTGCAACCAAAAAAGAGATGCAGAAATATGGGCACATAAATGCTGCACAAAGCTGAAACAGGTTTTGTGCTTTTTTTTTTTTACTTCATCTTTTTTGAACATAAAAAATTTGACAATTTATCCCATTCAAGAAAAACGTGTTAAATACTCCTTTTGTTGAATGACGAACTACTTCTATTAAATCCTCTATTTCTTTAAAACTAAAATACGCATTCCATGGGGGCGGGGTGTTCTTTTCTATTCCTTAATGAAATGGAATGAAATATTATAGTTAGAAATTATTTTCAATATATAATTTTCAATAAGAGATATGTTTAAAAAAATCAAAACTTTAGTTAAACAATTTTCATAATTTCCCAATAGTTGACTAAAAATACTTCTTGATTTTATTTCTATTCTAAGATTTTACATTGTATTTAATTTATCAACTTATGTTTGACTATTTAAAATGCATATATAATATATATTTCAAATGACATGAAACACGTTGATATGTAGTTTATTTAGCAATATATCCTTATTTGATTAAGAAGTGTAGGGAGACTGAGTTGCTACTCCGACTCATCTTGATTTGATCTTCTTTCGCTTACATCATCAATTCGATTTCCATCTATCAACAATATGTAATTTTTAATTCATTAAAACAATATATGTTTATACAGAAAATGTATTTATTATTTAGAAAATAAGTAAAAATATTTGTTACCTTTGCTAAGACAAAATATTGATGATTGAGATGGACTTGTTGTACTTGAAGAATCTCTATAATTGTTTATGCTTGCTGATAGATAAATTTATCTACCTTAATCCCACATTTAAGTGGTATTCGACTATAAGTGTGTAGTGATTCACATGTAAATCACAAGTGAATTAGATATGAATTACATGTGAGTCACATGTAATTCATATGTGAATTACATGTAAATCACAAGTGATTTACATATGTATTACATGTAAATCACATGTAATTCACATATGAATTACATGTAATTACATGTGATTCACATGTAAATCGCAAGTGAATCACATATGAATTACATGTGATTCACATGTAAATCACAAGTGAATCACATATGAATTACATGTGATTCACATATAAATCACAAGTGAATCACATGTGATTCACATGTAAATCACAACTGAATCACATATGAATTACATGTGATTCACATGTGAATCACATGTAGTTCACAGGTGAATCACATATGAATTACATTTGATTCACATGTAAATCACAATTGAATCACATATGAATTACATGTGATTCACATGTAAATCACAACTGAATCACATGTGAATCTTACATGATACATACATGTGCATTTTTGTGAGTGTTCTTGCATTAATCAATTTTTTTTTTTAATTTTCTTGTAGATTTTGAAGAATTTGTGGGAAATATTGAAGAGGTGAAAAGTGATAAATTGAAGAAAATATGGAAATCTTGATATGAAGAAATGATAATACTGTGAATCTTTGTAGCTTTTTTTAATATTTTATTTTGTATCGAATAAAATATTTGTAGTATTATGTTTATATATTGATTAATAATAATGATATTTTTTATGACTTACGAATATTATAGTATAAGAAACATGCATATAGGCATTTGAAAAAAAATGCGTATATGCACCTAAAACCTTTATTTTATTTTTGTTAAAAAATATGCATAAATGCAGTTTTTTAAAAAACATTGTAGTTTTTTTTTGAAAAAAATTCAGTTTTTTTAAACGTAATCAAAGTTTTTTTTTAAATGCAGTTTTAAAAAAAATGGAAGTTTTTTTGAAAAAATTGCGGTTTTCTTTTTTGAAAAAAATGCAGTTTTGTTTTTTTTAAATTGTAGTTTTTTTGAAAAAATTGCAAACTTTTTAAAAAAATATTTTTTTCATTTTTATTTAAAAATTCATGTTTTTTGAAAAAAAAAAATCTCCATTTTAAAAAAAAAATCAAAAATTATTTTTAAAAAAAAATTCCGAAATTTTATTTATTATGTTAATTTTTAAAACTTTTTATTTATATTTCCAATAACAAAAAAATTAAACATTAAATGGATCGTTAAGATGACGATCATGCCCTTAATGAGTTAATTTTGATCTAACGCTTCACATTTAGTTCTCAGGTTCTCGGGAAACTATGAGTTCTCAACGGATCTCTGTCTCTCTATCTTTGTCTCTCTCTCTCTCTCTCTCTCTCTATATATATATATATATATATATATATATATATATTATAATATATATATATATATATATATATATAATAATATATATATTATATAGATATATTATATATATAGATATATATAATATATATATATATATGGAAAAATAATATAATAAATAACATCCATACAGCCCCACCTAAGCTTAGATATTAAACCTTATAAAAATAAATTATTTTACTATATAAAGATTGCGATTGGGGGATTCATGATTAAGACTTGAAGATGTAGATTCATGATCGACGCAATAGTTTTGATAAGGAAGCAAAACATTGATTATTTTCGACCTCGTGACGGTGGAAAACAATACTGTTCACTGTGGTGAAATAATAAACGATAATTGAGGAAAGAAAACAGAGATGGTAAAATGATAATAGAGGAAAGAAATGTTATCCAGGACGATATATTTACCAAATGAAAACCAAACCGACTATAATTACTAAGTTAAAACGACATATTTTAGAGGTTTAGTACATAACTTTAGGTGGGGCTGTAATGTATATTCCCTCTATATATATATAATATATATAATATATATATATATATATATATATATATATATATATATATATATATATATATATGTGTGTGTTTGTGGATCATGTGCGATGTCCCCCCACAAACAAGTTATGGACTTATGGTTATGGTATTAGATGTCATGTGGTGTTTATGTAGCCGTCTATGTGTCTACTTTATTAGGGTAAGTTCCAACCCAAAACCTCTTTCAATGTGTCTTATTCGCTTGACCAAGTCTACCCTATCCTAACCCTATTGCCAGATTATTTTTGTTTAGTTTTCTAGTAAGTCTAGGGTTTATGTCATTTTGCCATACTTTATATCATCGTTATTCTTATTTAATACAAAAGGTAGGATAAATAGACTTTTGATATAAAATTTAAAATTTTGTGTTTTACGTGTGTCCACAACCTAAAGACGAATAATTTGGGACTATAATAATCCTAGATCTATTGTATAATAAATTTTTATGTTGAAATAAGTATAATAAATTTTATGTTGAAATAAGTTATAATAAATTTGTACGGATGATATATTTTTTGTATGTTAAATAATTCTTTCACGCATTTGATTAATAAATTTATTGGTGGTTTTAATTTTAATTATCAACTAGTTTTAATGTAGTTGTTATTAATATTGAGCTAGACTGAGTTATATTTCACTCACAAAGGTTGAAGGTACGGGTGCACATTCGGAGTGATTAATATAAGTTCGGAATATGAGGGTCTGGGAGAAACGTCTTTGGGTACGTGATTCCAAGGGGCAACATCCCTTGGCGGGGTCTAGGGGCAGGGCCGGTCCTAAGGTTTTTGTGCCCCGGGCAAAATGGCATAATAATGCCCTCTTTTTATATTGTTAAACTCTGAGGAATAAATTTATGTTATTTGTAATTTTTAAATATAAGTTCACTTCTCATTAACATCATCTTCACCATCTTTTTCAACATATTCATTGATATTTTTCTAGCTAACAACACCATGCTAGAAGGGGTACTTTTTGTATTTAGTTCTTTGAGTCTGTTTGAGGAAGTTGGTGTTTCGGAGTGGGAGGAATAAGGTTAGTTATCAATTTGTTAGTATGAAATTTTCCTAAAGAGTCTAGCATCTCATAATAACTAGAACAGTAGAACTTGGAGTCTCTTTCAAATTTAATTAAAGATTAAACTTTTCATTTGGTCTGTTTGTGTTTACCTCTTGCATTTAAACCAGTCCACAACACAAAGACAATTAAACAATACATAAGCATTCAAAATAAAACATGATATAAGCTTTATAATTTCTTTATGTAAGTAAACTAAAACATTTAGAGCTACAGACAAATAACATGTCCCATTTCTACTTCAAACTCCACTAAACTGTTGATCTGAAAAGCAAAAAAAATGGTAATAATTATTTTAAAAAAATCAAAATTTTCCAAATGCGAATAAACAGACTACTAAAAGGGGATGAACATTTGATAGATTATACCAATTAATCAACAATAATCATGTTAAAACCAAAAAAAAAATTAAAACAATAAATAAATAAGCAATCAAAATTGAAATCTTTGAACAACAAAAACAATAAATAATGAATACTTAAAACAACAAAACATGAAATGTATTTAAACAATTACCGTAAAGCTTTATCATTTTACTTTTGAAAAGTTTGACTTTTTACCTTGACATCTTTGCTTTTACTTCAATTGAAAGGCCAAGAAAGTTTATCCTACTTTTTAGCCTATTTTGGGGAACGAAGGGGCACAGACAGAGGGCAGCATCGTCGGTGACTTAGAATGAAGGAAAACCAATGAGGGGGCGATTTCAAAAAAGAACATGAGAGAGTTGGAGTGCTTGTTGGTTGGTAATGAATAGAGAACTGCAGTAGGAGAGGAGATCAAAAGATGTAGTTGGCATTAGAATGTCGTTACTTGCTGGTTGATCTAACGCAACTCCCTCTTAATCTCTTTCTCTCTTGTATAACCAAATGTAGGTTATAAGGTAGTTGACGAGTCTTCCTGGGCGTAAGTGTATATCATATTAAAAAAAATTTGGGCCTTGTGTAGATGCACAGATTGCCCCTACCCTAAACTGGCACTGTCTAGGGGCAGCGCCCCTAGCGGGGTCCAAGGTAGCACTCCAGCCATGCATTTTCCCGCCAAAACCCACTAATGACATAATGATGATGTATGTATTGCTTATGGCCAATAACCACCATATATTGGCGCCAATTTTGGTTTTACTCGATTTTAACCACTTTATCTTCATGTATAAATAATATATGAATGTTCCAGGAAAAGGGTTGGGAAATCTCATATATTCGAAATCTATTTATCTGATTTTTT